ACAATTATCAATGACTGATTAAAACAATTATATAAACAGAATTTATAACAATCTGTAACACAGAATACAGTATATGAACAATAAATAAAACTGACTTGAATTTGAGATAGAGGCTTGCAGATTTGATGCAATGTCCTAAATACAGTAATTTCACCCCTTCTCGGTGCTTGAAGTTCTACAGGTGACTGCCTCCCAGGATTCAACTATCTGTATTCTAAGTCCTAGCACTCGGACTTAAAATCTGGCGAACGTTGTTTGTTTTCCTCTCAGACAAGATGAGATGCTTGTGAATGCTTTTTCTATGTTGAACGTATGAGGCATTGTTTGATTTAAATAAACTTCTGAAAACTTATCAGAAGAGTCACAACTGTTAGAAAACAGTTAATAAAAATAATCCGAATTAATAAAAAATTATTAATTCGAAACCAAAAAATAATTTTAAATCTGAAAGTGCCCCAAGGCCCAAGACCCATCTTTTTAACCATTAAATATTATATATTTTTATATAATATTCAAAGCCCAAATCTTTTTTGAAGCCCAAATTGCTTCCACTTGGCCTACTTCCATTTACTAAGTGTGACACTTCCACACTTATAAAGACCTCACTCTTTCTACTTTCTACCAATGTGGGATAAAGGTTCTTGAATTTCATTCAAACTTCCAACATATATATGTATGTATGTATGTATTAGTCTGCAATGGAAGACAAACCTGAATCATAAAGTATGAAAGAATAAAAGGATGGAGGAGAAGGACTGTTTCTCTTCGAAAACGCTTTTATAATCCAAAAATACATTTATTATTTTTGGTTAGGATGGAAAGGTCACTGATACATTAGAAGGTGCAGATCCTTCTTGTTTGGCCAATAAAGTTGCTAGGGTTGTTGGGTCAGCTAAGCCCGGAGAACCTAGCCTTGAGACAGTCCAAGAGTTAGCAAAAGAAAATGGATCTTTCCAGGAGCAAGAACAAATTCAAGCACAAACTGGCCTTGATGATGCCTTGAAAAGGCGGATGCAGCATAGACTCTAATCGACTCATGCTTTTTATGGAAGGAGCCCAAATGTAAAGTTAGCAGATTGGCCGTTCACATTTTGAATAAAGTGAAGGTCAAATTTGGAACTTTCGACGTTCTTTCAGACAATGAAGTTATGGAGGGGATACAAAAGTATTCTAATTGGCCAACAATACCACAGCTTTACAACAAAGGGAAGCTTGGTGGTTGGGGTGACATAGCATATTTAATGCGTCGTAATGATGGTGAATTAGGAGAATTTTCCATAGACCATGTCACCATGAAACCAACTCACTGAATTGTGATAATTAATTTATGAATGATCAACAATCAAATTGTTGGTTAGAAATTAGAATACACACCTGAACACCTGTTGACTGAATTTTTTATATTATGTAATCAAATTTGGCCTCTTAAGATTGTGTTTTTAAGTCTTTGATGTTGTGTGAGAGTTTACTTTAAGATACATGCGTGAGTTTAATTACGTAACAAGCTTATGAAGTTGCTTGTTTAGCCTATTAATTTAGCCTATAAAGAATTGTGTTTTAAGTGTTTGATGTCGTGTGAGAGTTTACTGGTTTTATATGAAGACAGCATATACAGCATAAAAAAGGTGTTGGAAAGAAGTTAAAACTAAGAGTTCCCTATAGGACATTGGCATGTATTTTTCTCAGAGTGAAGGTTTCAAATTCAAATTGACAAGCATGGGGGTTCTGAAAGGTTGATGGGTGACAACCCTGCATGCAGTAAATGCTGCAGAGTAAAGCTTCAGGGTTTCTTGTATTGGTAACAGAACACATACATTTTATTTAGAACACAAACAAGACATACATTTTTGCCAAATATTGTTATGGATCAATCACACCGAACAAGAAGATTCTTGGAAGTAAATGAATTATTGTATACAGTAGTATGGGTATATGTCTGCAATGGAAGACAAAACTGAATCATCAGTAAGAAAGAATAAAACGATGCAGCATGAAGACACTCTCTTTCTAGAAAGCACTTATACGATCCAAGAAAGTGCTTTTAAGTTTTTATGCCCAAATAACGCTTTTTTCACTTCCAAAAGCAGGTCCTAGGACAGATTTCTTTCCCGCATGAATGATTCTATCTTCTCTACATCTTCTGGAGTATCAACACCGTGAGCCTCATGATCAACCTTGATCACCTGTGAGAGGTAATCATGAGTTTGAAGTAAATATTTCTTCAAAATACCAGTCAATCTATATACATGAAAAACCACCCAACATCGGATTATATGTGATCTAACTATACTCAGATTCTGACGCCTTATTTAGCAGCTCACTGATAAGGAGAGAGAAAAAGAACTTATCAAATGAAATAAGATTGATCGAAATACATAGAAGAGTCTTATGACCAAGCAATACCTTCATCTTATATCCATTCTCAAGGACTTTAAGCTGCTCCAAATCTTCTTCCAGTTGTAATGGAGTAGGTGCAAGCTCCGGATATTTCCTCAAGAACTTTGCATCATAGCTCTGGACAAGAATGGAATAACTGGTTGGCAACAAGTAGGAGACACATTACATATAAAGGCTCACAAGTGCTGTAACATAAAGATATGCTGATACCTGGATACCAAGATGAAGTAGATATGGAAAACGTGGATTGACCTTGGCTGACCTGTGTTGTGTACATGAGAATTTATCAAGTTGCTGACGGTGTTATATTATATCGCAGACATGCTAAAATCTATAGTAAAACTTACTTATTGTAGGGGATCAAGCCCCTCGAAAAATATATTGCATAACCATGACTGTCCACCACGCATTTCACCCGATTGGGATCGGATGCATCTTCAGGTTTCAAAGAAGTAACTGCAGTGCTAAATACAGCATCAGGGGCAGCCTATAACAGTAATCAAACAAAAAGGAGAAGAAACGCTCAATTACATTCAGAACGAAAAAAACAAATGAACCTAAAGTCTAAAGAATAAAATCTATAGCCAGCCACATAATGATTTGGACTATTTGATTGCCATAGACTCATCATTCTAGTTCACAAAACTATATGAGTTGAAAACAGAACAGAATATCAATAAATGACTGTTAAAAAGTGTGATTTCACAACATATTCATATTGAAGGAGCAGAAGTGTAACTAACATGAGAGGATAAAGAACTTACTTGCAGGGCCTTGACAACCCCATCTATTATCTCGGGCTCTATAAGAGGCTCATCTCCCTGAATGTTAACAACAATATCAAATTTCTTTTTGAACTTTTGGAGGGCCTTATTGCAGCGTTCAGTTCCTTCAGATCATCAGACATTTATAAGAAACTTAAAAAATAATTCAAGTTTACTAACAATCAGTAAAATAGAAATATTGTGAACCATGGCTCTTACCATTTCTGCAAGTATCTGATGTCATTATCACATCAGCTCCAAACCCCAAACAGCACTCTGCTATTTTCTCATTATCCGTAGCTACAACTAGTAGAAGAGAAAATTTAAGAACTTTTTAGTCAACAAATCACCACATAATAACACAGAACTTATCATGTTGGCAGAGAAAACATATGAGGTTGACTGCTGGAAGTACCAAGTTGGTCCAGCGTGGTTGCAAGTTTTGCTCTTTCCCACGTCCTCTACAAGGCACAAAAAGATAGTTAAGCAAATGATCGTAGCATCTGCCCAGTTTATACCAAATATGATTACACATTCTACTTGCATGCTATTGTTTACAGTTTTCCTCCATTTGTCAAAGACATTGGAAAAGAAAAGAAAGAAGATGAAGAAGAAAACTTCTCATTGTCAAAAGTTCAAACACTTGAAACGCAAAAGAATTGATACCCAAAATCCCGATTAGTCTCCACCACACCACACCACACAATTAAACAGCCTTTGAAATGATTAATCAAGTTCTCTTTTTTTCTTTCATTAACATTGCGTTCATATAATGCAACAATTTAAGTAAACTTAAAAAATGAACTTGAAAGAAAAAAGAAGAAGAAAAACGATCACAAGAACCTGAATCATGGGTTTGCCGAGGATTGGGACCAGAGGTTTGCCTGGAAATCTAGAGGAAGCGAAACGAGCCGGTATGATCCCCAGCACGTGGCACCGTAACCTGGCGGACCGGCGCCTGGATATCACCGTGTACGCTACGGCCGCAGCTGCTACAGCAGCTCCGGCGAGCAGTCCCTGCGCAAGCCATGAACGGTTGGTGCCATCAGAGACAGAGGATGAGGAAGAGGGGCCGCTCATGGTGCTGCGATCTCCACTAGGTTAGCGTTTCGGCGGACGGTGGCGCGTGAGTTTGCACTGAGAGTGTCTGCGCGTGTTTGGAGAGTCTGTTATCTCGGCGGCGCGAACTGTAAACTAATTTGTAATGGATGTGTGAAACGGTGCGTTTAGGGTAGTAGCTTCAAGGCCAGGACTTTGAACCCGAAGTTTTTATTTTCATGGAAGCCAAAGTCACAGGTTCTTCAACCCCACGGTCTCCGGTTTACCGAGCTCTTCTCCGAGCAGGCCCGTCTCTCAGAGCCCTGCAACAAGTTCATGGCCACATTGTTGTCTCCGGCTCTCACCGCAGCCGAGCTCTCCTCACCAAGCTTATAACTTTGGCTTGCGAAGCCGGCTCAATTTTCTACACTCGGCGGCTCTTCCTCTCTGTTCCAAACCCTGACTCTTTCCTCTTCAATTCCCTCATCAAAGCCTCTTCAAAGTTTGGGTTCCCCCAACACACTGTTTTCTTCTATAACCGTATGCTTGGTTTCCGTATTGCGCCTTCGAGTTACACCTTTACGTCTGTGATTAAATCGTGCGCCGATATTTCGGCTCTGAGACTCGGTAGATGTGTTCATTCGCACGTTTTGGTATGTGGGTATGGCTCGGATTCATTTGTTCAGGCCGCTCTAGTTACCTTGTACTCCAAGTCTGGTGATTTGGGTGCTGCTCGGAAGTCGTTTGATAAAATGCCAGAGAGGAGCGTTGTAGCTTGGAATTCAATGATTTCGGGTTACGAGCAAAACGGGTTTTCGAGGGAAGCGATTGAGGTGTTTAATCAGATGCGGGAATTGGGTGTTGAACCTGATTCGACAACTTTCGTGAGTGTCTTAGCGGCTTGTTCTCAGTTGGGAGCTCTTGGTTTAGGCTGTTCGGTGCATCATGATGTTATTAACAATGGGCTGCATGTGAATGTAGCTCTAGGTACTTCGCTAATCATCATGTATGCTAGATGTGGGAATGTGAGCAAAGCGCGAGAAGTTTTTGATTCGATGAACGAACGAAATGTCATAGCTTGGACGGCTATGATCTCAGGGTACGCAATGAATGGTTATGGCATTCAAGCTGTGGAACTCTTTTGCCAAATGAGAGCTCATGGCCCTGTTCCTAACACTGTCACATTTGTGGCAGTCTTGGCGGCGTGCGCTCATGCAGGGCTAGTTCACGAAGGGTGGGAGACATATGCAAACATGAGGCAAGAGTATGGCTTAGTGCCAGGAGTGGAGCACCATGTTTGCATGGTCGATATGCTTGGGCGTGCTGGACTTCTCACCGAAGCATATCAATTGATTAAAGAGCTTGGTCCTGAGGAGGCCGCCCCAGCTGTTTGGACTGCCATGCTTGGGGCTTGCAAGATGCATAAGAACTTCGATCTTGGAGTAATAGTTGCTGAGCATCTTTTGGAGGTTGAGCCTGAAAATCCAGGTCATTATGTAATGCTTTCGAATATATATGCACTGGCAGGTCGGATGGATCGAGTGGAAGTGGTTAGAAACATGATGATGGGAAGAAGCTTGAGAAAGCAAGTTGGCTATAGTACAATAGATGTGAACCAGAAAACGTACCTGTTTAGCATGGGTGACAAGTCCCATCCCGAGACAAATGAAGTTTATCAGTATTTAGATGAACTGATGTCGCAGTGCAGGGAAGCAGGTTATGCTCCCGTACCTGAATCAGTGATGCATGAAGTGGAAGAAGAAGAGAGGGAATATGCCCTTAGATGTCATAGCGAGAAGCTTGCGATCGCATTTGGGCTACTGAAAACCAAGGATGGCATGGCCATTAGGATTGTAAAGAACCTTCGAATGTGCGAGGATTGCCATGAAGCAATTAAGTTTATGTCAGTTGTTACCAAAAGAGAAATTATTGTTCGTGATAAGCTTCGCTTCCACCACTTCAAAGATGGCTCTTGTTCATGTATGGATTACTGGTGAGCCTGAGCTGGTCCAACTAATTGCCTGGTAGCAATGCTTTGTGAGCCTGAGCTGTTAGAGGATTTCAGCTATCCCTTACCAGAAAGAGAAGACTCATAATTTTTAGGGTCTTTTGCATTGCTTGGACAGCCAACAGAAACGCATGGCAGATCATTGTTGCAGGGATCAAGTGCAATGCTATGACTTTCTGGTCCATCTATGGAAAGGCCATTACCAATTGTTGTCAGAACTGTGATCAATCAGATTGTAAGTCGAAATGCTGAATTGCATAACCGAATCAGAGATGCCCTGGACGATTGATTCTTCGTTAGGCCAGGCGAAATATGTCAAGGTCTAACTAGATTGTGTTATTGAAGACCCTCTTGCTCTTGATCTTGCATTAAAGAATCATGTATAGTTATAGTGTTTGTTTTAGCTATCTTGCACCATTATTTGTGCTCAAAATCTCTTTTCCGAGCCAATTTGTGCATAGGAATTTAGTGAATATTGAAATGAGAAAACTCTCTTTTGTGATACAAGTACTCTTGTAAACTGGGACTTCAGAAGCAAAATATAGTTGCTGATGGGCCTGCTGGGCTGAGCTTATCTGGGGCCTTTTGGCTCTCTTTTACTTGTTCCAAAAAAATATTGAACTCTAATTTCTGACTGGAGGATGCGTGGAATATCTGTCATAGATGCGCATGACAAATCTTTTTATGGAAACAAATGTATGTTGCTATTAAATTAAATGCATGGGACATGCATAGTGGGTTTAAATAAATGTCATTTGTTGGGTTAAAATGGTAACCAAAAATATTTCCGAAGAAGAAATCCAATAAACAACGTAAAATTGTAGCCGTTGGAATGTTACAAAATCATAACTCTGCATCCTTAATATCATTGATTATTAATGGTTACTTCCAGGATAATGAAGAGACATATATTAAATGTATCACTAATTGTTCTTCTTAAAGTAGTTGGGGCTATATCGCCGTGTGATATACCATGACTATGTCGTGTAAATCTATGAAGAAAGTGATTAAATAAACGTTCATTTTATTTACCAAAAACAAATAAACTTTATAATAAATTCCTGTAAGAGATTCTCTGCCTTTCTTTCTTTCATGATACGAGACCCACCAGGCTGAAAACTCGTGGAAAAAACCCCACATGCCAACAGATCCGGAAAACGACATCGCAAAAGGCCGAAAGAAACAAAAAACACATTGCAAAACCCACTTTTATTATGCTTCAGCTGTTCTAATGACAAAAACAAAATGGGAAAAAGCCCACTTTATTCTCAATCTCAAGAACCAACCCATCACCAACGGTCCGCAGTCGGTCCCAATCATTAATTAACAATTTATATACATTAATGTTGCATTCATTTACCGTCCAAATTAATTAACGGATGTTTTTCAAGAATTTTTTGTAAAGATTATGTTTCAAGAACTGAAAGGACATTTTATTATTATCATTAATGACTTGTACAATTTACTATTTTTTTCCTTTTCATACAAACGATTATGAAAAATGAAATTCGAACACATGACTTCGGATGCATGAAATAATTGTTATACGAACAACATTTTGGGGCATTATTTTTCATTCATGAAAAAGTAACTTTCAACTTTTATCTTCTTTTTGGGTAATTTTGTTTATGTTGTTGATCATTTGGGAATGACCTTAGTGCATGTACTTTTTTTCTTTTTCAAATCCTTTTTGTTGGCCTCTCGTTTTTTCTGGTAAGATAAATAAAAGGGATATTCCTTCTTTTATTTTTTCTAGGCTCCCATGTGCATGTATGACACATATCCGTTTGATTCGCACTATCCGAAGTTCAAAACCTTCATCATACGCCGTCGTTTCGGCAAACATAGAACGTGGGTTGCTGCTTGGTTTGTTGCGTTGCGTACCGTCCCTCCCTCCGATTTGCTACACGATATTCTGATTTCTGATACTCAGTGGTGGGTACCACCTTGAGTCCGGACCCACCAACGCCCCCACTTCCCTTCTCAGTATCTCCACCATCCTCCGCCACCCGCCCTCTGGCGCGTGCCTCCACCTTACAGCATCCATTCGTCTCTTTCAGTAGCATATGCGTGTACGTTACTTAAAGCCGTAATGAAAACCCAGCACACCATTTCTCTCACTCTCTCACTTCCACAAACAACCAACACAACACAACTCAGAACAAGAAAAGAAAAATGAAACTCAAAGACCAGCTTGAGAACTGAAGAAGAAGAGAGGAGAGCTATGAATCTTCGGCAGCGTCCGCAGCCGACGCGCGGCGGCCGTGGACCACTCCGCGCGCCGCTGCCGCCCATGCAACAGGCCTACAACATCATCCCCATCCACGACCTCCTGGCCGACCACCCTTCGCTCCGCTTTCCTGAGATACGCGCCGCTGCCGCCTCCTTACGCGCCGTCGGGGACCTCCGGAAGCCGCAGTTTGTCCCCTGGAACCCGAACTACGACCTCATGGACTGGCTCGGCCTCTCCTTCGGGTTCCAAACCGACAACGTTCGGAATCAGCGGGAGCATTTGGTCCTCCACCTGGCCAACTCCCAAATGCGGCTCCAGCCTCCGCCGAACCTGGTCGACTCGCTCGACGCCGGCGTTCTCCGGCGATTCCGGGGCAAATTGCTGCAGAACTACACCTCCTGGTGCTCCTACATGGGCCGGAAGTCGAACGTCGTCATTTCGAGACGCCGCGCTGATCTCCGCCGCGAGCTGCTCTACGTGGCGCTGTACCTGCTGATTTGGGGCGAGTCTGGTAACCTTCGTTTCGTCCCTGAATGTGTTTGTTATATTTACCATCATATGGCCATGGAACTGAACAAAGTGCTTGATGAGTCTATCGACCCGGATACTGGTCGCCCGTTTGTGCCTTCGGTTTCGGGGCACTGTGGGTTTTTGAAGAGTGTGGTTATGCCCATTTACCAGACTATTAAGACTGAGGTTGAGAGCAGCAGAAATGGCACTGCGCCTCACTCTGCTTGGCGCAATTATGATGATATTAACGAGTACTTTTGGTCTCGGAGGTGTTTCCAGAGGCTGAAATGGCCTATTAATTATTCAAGTAATTTTTTTGCTACCACCCCGAAGAATAAGAGGGTCGGGAAGACGGGGTTTGTGGAGCAGAGGTCGTTTTGGAATGTGTTTAGGAGCTTTGATAAGCTCTGGGTTTTGTTAATCTTGTTTTTACAGGCTTCCATTATTGTTGCATGGAAGGAGACAGATTATCCCTGGCAGGCGTTGGAGAGAAGGGACGATCAGGTGCAGTTGCTTACATTGTTTATTACTTGGGGCGGTCTTCGCCTTCTTCAAGCAGTGCTTGATGCTGGGACTCAGTATAGCTTAGTTTCCAGGGAGACGATGTTGCTTGGTGTTCGGATGGTGCTGAAGGGTGCAGCTGCCGCAACATGGACTATTGTGTTTTCGGTGTTTTATGCGAGGATTTGGGATCAGAAGAATTCGGATGGGAGGTGGTCGGATGCGGCCAATCAGAGGATTATTGTTTTTCTTGAGGCTGCACTTGTTTTCGTCATCCCGGAAGTGCTGGCATTGGTTCTCTTTATAGTTCCCTGGGTCAGGAACTTTCTTGAAGGGTTGGATTTTAGTATACTCTATGTATTCACATGGTGGTTTCATACACGGATTTTTGTGGGTCGTGGACTGAGGGAAGGGCTTGTCAATAATGTCAAGTATACAATGTTCTGGATCGTTGTGTTGGCTTCAAAATTCACATTCAGTTACTTCCTTCAGATCAGGCCTCTTGTTTCCCCAACGAAAACTCTGTTGGACGCAGGGGATACCAAGTACAAAATACATATCTTTTTTAATAGCGGGAACAGAATAGCAATTGTGTTGTTGTGGATTCCTGTTGTGTTGATTTACTTGATGGATCTGCAAATATGGTTTGCCATTTTCTCATCCTTAGTTGGTGCAACAATTGGGCTGTTTTCACATTTGGGTGAGATCCGGAATATCAATCAGCTAAGGCTTAGATTTCAGTTCTTTACTAGTGCGTTGCAGTTTAATCTTATGCCGGAGGAGGAGTCCTTACGTCCTGAGGTGACAATGGTGAAGAAGCTCCGTGATGCCATCCGCAGACTGAAATTGCGGTATGGACTTGGTCAAGCCTACCAGAAGACTGAATCAAGCCAAGTAGAAGCTACCAGGTTTGCCTTGATATGGAATGAAATCATGACAACTTTCAGGGAGGAAGATCTCATCAGTGATCGAGAACTTGAGCTCATGGAATTGCCACCTAATTGTTGGAACATTAGGGTTATTCGCTGGCCATGTTGCCTCCTCTGCAATGAACTATTGCTTGCTCTAAGTCAGGCAGAAGAGCTGGGTGAGGAACTTGGCGACCAGTTGCTTTGGTTGAAGATATGCAAGAGTGAGTATCGCCGGTGTGCTGTCATCGAAGCTTATGACAGCATCAAGTATCTGCTTCTTGTGGTCGTTAAATATGGCACAGAAGAAAATTCCATTGTTTCAAAAATTTTCAAGGAGCTGGATCAATGTATTCAGAGTGGGAAGGTCACGGTTACATATAAGTTGTCACTGCTTCCACAAATTCATGCAAAGTTGATTTCTCTTATTGAGCTTTTGATTCAACGAAAGAAAGATGAAAGTAAGGCAGTGAATTTGTTGCAGGCCTTGTACGAACTTTCCGTTCGTGAATTCCCGAGGTTGAAGAAGTCCATGGAAACCTTGAGGCTGGAAGGCCTCGCAACTTGTAGTCCAGCCACTGATGCAGGCTTGCTTTTTGAAAATGCAATCCAGTTTCCTGATGATGAGGATGAGGTCTGCTTTAGGCATCTGCGCCGTCTGCATACAATTCTCACTTCTAGAGACTCAATGCACAATGTCCCAACAAATATTGAGGCGAGACGACGTATTGCTTTCTTTAGCAATTCACTTTTTATGAACATGCCCCGTGCTCCATATGTTGAAAAAATGATGGCTTTCAGTGTGCTGACTCCATACTATGATGAGGAAGTGTTGTATGGAAAAGAATTTCTTCGAAGTGAGAACGAAGATGGCATTTCCACCCTGTTTTATCTGCAGAAGATTTATGAAGATGAGTGGAAGCATTTTATGGAGAGGATGTACAGGGAGGGCATGGAGAATGACGATGAAATCTTTACTAATAAGGCTAGGGATCTCCGTCTTTGGGCATCGCACAGAGGTCAGACATTATCTCGCACTGTGAGGGGAATGATGTACTACTATAGGGCGCTTAAGATGCTTGCATTTCTTGATTCTGCATCTGAGATGGACATAAGGGATGGATCACAGCAAATTGGCTCTCATGTTTTGATAAACCAAAATAGCGGGTTGGATGGTGTACGGTCAGGCATGCAATCCTCTTCTCGGAAACTCGGAAGAACAAGTAGCAGTGTTAGTTATTTATTTAAGGGGAATGAACATGGGATTGCTCTGTTGAAGTTCACATATGTGGTTGCCTGCCAATTATACGGGCAGCATAAGACAAAGGGAGACTCCCGTGCTGAGGAGATCTTATATCTTATGAAAAACAATGAGGCTCTTCGAGTTGCCTATGTTGATGAGGTTCACTTGGGGAGGGATGAGGTTGAGTACTACTCTGTCCTTGTTAAATTTGATCAGCAGATTCAAAGGGAGGTTGAGATCTATCGGATCATGTTGCCTGGTCCATTGAAGCTTGGTGAAGGCAAACCAGAAAATCAAAACCATGCCATAATCTTCACAAGGGGTGATGCAGTTCAGACCATTGACATGAACCAAGATAATTATTTTGAGGAGGCACTTAAAATGCGGAATTTATTGGAAGAGTTCAAGAACTTTTATGGTATCAGGAGGCCGACTATCTTGGGAGTCCGCGAGAATATCTTCACTGGCTCCGTGTCGTCTCTTGCTTGGTTCATGTCTGCTCAGGAGATGAGTTTTGTGACCCTGAACCAGCGTGTTCTGGCAAACCCTTTGAAAGTGCGAATGCACTATGGTCATCCAGATGTGTTTGACAGGTTCTGGTTCTTGCCTCGAGGTGGATTAAGCAAGGCTTCCAAAGTGATCAATATCAGCGAGGACATATTTGCTGGCTTCAATTGCACACTGCGAGGTGGCAATGTGACTCACCATGAATATATACAGGTGGGCAAGGGGAGGGATGTTGGGCTGAATCAGATCTCCATGTTTGAGGCCAAGGTTGCTAGTGGCAATGGTGAGCAGGTTTTAAGCAGAGATGTGTACCGGTTGGGTCATAGATTGGACTTCTTTCGAATGCTTTCATTTTTCTACTCGACTGCTGGGTTCTACTTTAACACGATGATGGTGATACTGACTGTTTATGCCTTCTTGTGGGGACGTCTTTTTCTTGCTCTCAGTGGTATCAAGGACAGTGCAAACAATAAATCACTTGGTGTGATCTTGAATCAGCAGTTTATTATCCAGCTAGGTTTCTTCACTGCCCTTCCAATGATTGTTGAAAACTCTCTTGAACTGGGTTTCCTTCGAGCAGTTTGGGATTTCTTAACAATGCAGTTGCAGCTTGCTTCAGTTTTCTACACATTCTCAATGGGAACTCGTACCCACTTCTTCGGCCGTACTATTCTTCATGGGGGTGCAAAGTACCGAGCCACTGGACGTGGCTTTGTGGTACAACACAAGAGCTTTGCTGAGAACTATCGACTCTACGCTCGAAGCCATTTTGTGAAGGCAATTGAGCTTGGGATTATTTTAATAGTGTTTGCTGCTCATAACTCTGTAGCTACGAATACTTTTGTTTACATTGCCATGACGATCTCAAGCTGGTGTCTCGTATTGTCGTGGATAATGGCCCCGTTTGTGTTCAACCCTTCTGGATTTGATTGGCTGAAAACTGTATATGACTTTGAAGATTTTATGAATTGGTTGTGGTATTCCGGGGGGGTTTTTACAAAAGCTGAACATAGCTGGGAAACATGGTGGTATGAGGAACAAGACCATCTGCGAACAACTGGTCTTTGGGGAAAGCTATTGGAAATTCTTTTGGATCTTCGTTTCTTCTTCTTTCAGTATGGTGTCGTGTACCATCTAAATATTACCCGTGGAAATACCAGCATAGCTGTTTACTTGCTATCTTGGATATACATGGTAGTGGCTGTTGGGATTTATATAGTCATAGCATATGCTCAGGACAAATATGCAGCGAAGGAGCATATCTACTACCGGCTAGTTCAGCTTCTTGTCATAATGGTTTTGGTACTTGTAACTGTATTGCTGCTCGAGTTCACTCACTTCAAATTTCTCGATATAGTCTCAAGTTTCTTGGCGTTCATCCCTACCGGCTGGGGTATAATTTTAATAGCTCAGGTACTTAAACCTTTCCTGCAGTCTACAGTGGTGTGGGATACTGTGGTTTCGTTGGCTCGACTGTATGATTTGCTCTTTGGAGTAATTGTTTTGGCTCCTGTGGCATTGCTGTCATGGTTACCTGGGTTTCAGTCAATGCAGACTAGGATCCTGTTCAATGAAGCCTTTAGCAGGGGTCTTCAGATATCTCGTATTCTTACCGGCAAAAAGTCTCAGTGATGCATTCATTCAGAGGTATTTCGATCTCAACTTATGAAATCCTCCATTATGTAATATGTTTTTGGTTGGACTCTGCTTATTATTATATTTCATTGGTCGCTTATGCTTTGTGTTTTCTTTCAGGTAGTCCATGTCGGCTGTAATCTTTTACAAATTATCTAACCAGGTTTCTTTGCGTTTCAGGTCATGAGGCGGGACTAGTTTACAACAGACCAAGTAAGACTGTTCTTCGATTCTACTGTCGGAGCAAAGGTAGTCGCATCGTACTGTGGTGTTGTCGTACATGATTTTCTCATCCGTGAATTCAGCTGCTGATTTTGTAATTAATCAGAGCATCTTCCTCTCTTGCTAGAGATTTTGTAGTGAAACGAACAGAGGGTAATTTGAGTGGTTAATTCCGTAGAGTGGTTTAACCACATTGTTGTTATTGTCGTTGTTCAGGATCTGGTTCTGTACATATTGTTCATATCTATTGTAGCTTCTAATCTATGCTAGGTTGGTTATTTAAAGAGCATATTATTATTATTATTATTATTATTATTATTATTATTAATGGCATGTTGCTTCTCCCACATCTTGGATTCAATCGATTTTACCCAAGCAACCAAATATCTTATAAACCCAAGATCAGTTTTGGTGTGAAACAACAATTGCAATCATGGAGATAGTAATAAATAAATATACTACAGGAGGAACCAATTGCAAAGTTTTTCATTCTTTAGCCAGAAATTGAATGGTGTAGGATTCAACGTTTTAATTTTTTCAAAAAGAAGCATGCATCGTGACATTGCTCAGAAAAATGATGTCTGAAACATTTTTGTTGAAGCGACATGTTTTCTGTTTTAATTTTGTTTTGACAATTTAAATTTTGCAGACTAGACAAAAGAACGTACCCATCAGAAGATATATATTTTGCACACTAGATTTCAATTATCAAAAAAATTGGTTCTCGGTAAAATCTATGTCCCTTATAATTCCTCATTGCTGATGACAGGGACTTTCTCATATACAGAAGTCTGTCTAAATCTTTTGGGAAGAACAAAACGACCACCAAATCTCTGCTGCAAGAAAATAATGGCAGCAAACAGCAGACCACCACAGGGGATGATGATATTCCAGGCAGTGGAGTAAAAATCCATTTTTTGGTTTGCATAAATATATGATAAGTCAAGGAACCATGTACCAGTCTGAGCTCTGTAAAGATCATATGCATGAGGCAGCACATGAAGTACGGTGGTTCCAAGGTAAAATGCACAGGCCAGAGCCTTTTCTCCTGAATTGAAGAATAAGTTGAACAATATCTGTGGGAGCAGAAAACCATCCAGTACGAGGCCGGCATAAGAGCTGAGATCCTCCCGGAGAGAGTGCTGCTGGTAAGCAAGATGGTGGAGGGTAGACACTCGGTAGGCCATGCGGTGTGGTCTTTGAAATGGCCTGTGTGATCTCTGGTAAGCGTTTTTGCGTAGGTTCACAAACCAAACAATCAGTGCACCAGCTATGTACAATGGTAAAGTTGCATAAAGAACCTTCCTCTCAGAATCTCTCAAGCTCTTCTGGTTTCCATGACCTTGTCTTGAGGACCACGTCAGTTGGAGAAGACGTAGCTGTAAAAGGAGAGCTACCATCATTAACACCCTGACTATTACTTCATTCACTTGAAGCCATCCACCAGTCCCAAGAAAAGTATCCTGCTGGCTGTGGTGTTTATTTGGCACAAACAATGCTTCAAAGTTGACCAGAAGTGGAATCATGTATCCCAGACTAAGAACAATAAGCATAACAATCGAAACAAATGGGAGAACATCTGGGTGCTTCTTCACGAATAATAGCTGCAAGCCCACAAAGACGCATGCAAGGGTGTTGGAAATCAGAACCATACTGATCTCAAAGTCGATTCTTGAAATGGATGCTGCAGCTTGGCTAGTGTAAATAGAATTTGAAGAAAACTCAATAGGTTCAAAATAAAGAGGGTCTAACTTCCGCCTTGTGCTTTCAATAGTTCCCTTGACATTCTGGCCATCCTTTGTATCCAATGGAGAAAACTGTACAATGATTTTAATAGCACAGTCTAACATATCCTGTTTAATCAATGTTTGATTTTTCACTGGTACGTGCCTACATCCTATCATGCACAGATTACCATAATCCCTATCATATATTCCTTCAGCAGATAGTTCTGCTTTAGATGGGAAAACATCATGACGAAAACCAAAATCAATTGATGATTTTGTTTGCGGCAATTTATCCCAAAACCGGCGTCCATAAACCCGCTCATCATCCACAAATAAAGGGGATGAATAACCAGATGCTTGTTGTCCTTTACTGTTTCTCATTGTCATGCCGAATTTCATGTCCACTGAAAACTCATCAGGGTATATCTTTCCTTTGCCTCTCCCAGCCTTCTTTTCTGCACATGTTTTTCTCATATCATCATTCTCAGAATACTCATATTTGAAATCTAAGAGTTTCATCAACCATCCCGACAAAGTGTGAAACCCAATTTTAGCAAAGTAACCTGAGTCATTCACTTCTTTGATGCTCCACATTTCCCCTGCAACAGTAGACCTATTCCATAAAGACAACTTTGTTGGCAATCTCAAGCTGAATTTAGTTGAGCAATCTCCAACAAAAGCATGAGTCAAAGATTCTGTAAAATTCAAAATCCGGCATGCAACAGCACACAGACGATTCTCCTTCTCATCCCATGCCCCTTCAGTAATGAAGGTTGTGTGAGGGTCAAACGGAAATTTGATGCCATAATAGCTAGAGTTGGGAAAACCCAACAACATCTGCATTTTCCTCTCATTTGCACACCGAGTTCCATAATAAACAAAAGAAGATACATATCCAGCATTCCCACCAAGAGGATTGCAATTCACACTGCCACAATCACTTCCATATTCCAATTCAAAGCTTTCATGTAGTTTACCAAGCAACATACACAAACCACGCTTCGATTTGCCCACACCTAAATTCTCTCCTCTATCGTCACCACGCAAACAACCATTCTCACTATCTTTCCCAGCTAATTTATATTCATAACTAGAACTCTGATATAAACCCAACATCAAAAGGGGTTCAAAATAATCCCCATCATGCTTATCACTCAAACTCTCTAAAGTCCCAGTAATTAAACTGTCATAAATACTTGAACTTTGCGGATAATTAAGCTTAAGAACAACACTAAGAGGCCTCAAATTACCTGACCCGCCATTTCCAACCATACAAAGCTTCTTAGAAGATTCTGAGTAGTACCCATCAAGCCTAAAGTTCAGTAAGCCCTTCCGAAAATGGCTTCTCGGACCTTTGAAATAAACCAACCGCAAATTCCGACGCGTAGAATTGTGGAAGATGGAGTAGTCTCGAAGATGCAAGGTTGCCCTGACTTTGAAAACGCCTTCGGTGAGGGTTTTACCCACGTCAGAGGGCACAAAGGAGAGAGCTTTCAGGTCATCGACCTCGGTAGTTTTCAGGTTTTGCTTGAAAAGCTGATCGCCGCCGGTGAAGTAACCGTTCCTGAAGCCAATGTCTTGGATGGAGAGGTTGGTGACAAACCACCTGGTGGGGTCTGTGTCCGACTTCGGCACGACGTCGTTGCAGTGTTTGGAGTATAAGGTTTCAGAATCTGAGCTTTGGGTTATGGAGTTTGAGGTTGTGGTGGTGAAATTGATGCAGAAGAAAAGGAAGAAGAATAAGAGGAGTGACCTCGTTGGCAAAATTGTAAGAACCCTAACCCTAGATTTATGCAATGGAGCCGAAGAAGATGATGAAGAATTGGACTCCATCGCGGTGCAACGAGGGAGAGAACTGAAGAAGAACCTGAATCGCAGGACATGAGCAGAGAAAGTTGCAATTTTTTAATGTTACTTACTTCAGCTCTCTTTTTTCTTAGCTTAGACATTAAATTTGAATTTGATATGGACTAATATTCGTTATCAAATATTAATTTATTCCCTGGAAATGCTCTTATTATACTAACAAATTTTCTTTATATTTATTTTTAATATAGACTAATAATTCGTTATTTATATATATAAAGCAAAAGACAGAGAATGATAAAACATTCAAAATATCAAAAAATATCATTGATTAATTCAAATATTAAGAATTGAAATTATTAATTAAATAAGAATAATATGATAAATTCACATTTTTTCATATTAAAAAAAAATCAGATAATAGGTTCTACTTTTGTAGAACATAACTACTCATGTTATCTTTTCTTAATTCTTTAAAAAATAAATAAATAACCAAGGGGCTAGTCAAATATTAATATGATTATTTAAAGCTAAGTATTAGCCATGATTAAGATATAATTAGAACACGGCCGAAGAGAAAAGGGGTACAGAAACATAAGGGATTCTTTCAGTACTTTCTGTCCGTTTCTTGGCAACCAAACAAATCACTTAAACCATCTAACACACAAACTCAACTCTTGCTTTTTTATTTCATAGATTTTGTATGCAAGACAGTGTATAATACAGAATAACAAATCTTACAAAGTCATTTTTTCACAGATACAAACAAACCATAGATTCTCTTTCTTTTTTATTTATTCTTTTTTGGCAAACAACAACAACCACAACCTCAGAAATACACACGAGCATTACCAATCTTTCACCAAACACAGATTGAAAGTGTCTGGACTTATTTATACACATGACAGAAATGTCTTGCTTGGTTACCTTTATATTACAACTTTTGCACCATGTTCATTTCTCTGGCCCAATGAACCGGTTGCAATCAATTCCCTTATCACAGAAAGCCCCTACCAATTTCGGAAAGAGCTTGGATAGCATAATTTTGAACCCAGTAGAGCTTCCCTTACAATGTTTATCTTCTGTTTTCTGAAAATCAACAGCACATCCTACCGGAGCCCCATCCATATACGCCTTGCACGCCATTACAATATTTTGGGAGCGCCGAGTGAAGTGTTCCACCACAAGCTCCTCGAAATGCTGCATCCACATTATTAAGTTACAATCCATACTTACCAAACAAGACAATTTCAATGATCTTATAAAAGTATGATTTTATGCGATTTCACGTCAAAGACTACAGAGGAACACTATCTTTATCCAGTATGACCCTAAGCAAAAAATCATATTACCAAAACAACTATCATACCTTAGGTGGCTTGTGGAGTATGTACAGCATGGACTTGCAAGTCATGAGGAAGGCATTTTCATTATAGCTTACTGAGTTTTTCTCTCCCTCAGTTCTTCCCACCTGCTGATCATATCCAGCTTCATTGAAATATGGCTTGTCGTTAAGCACAAGGGCTTGAAGGGAGAGAAGAACTTGAAGAATGGTGGAGCTCCCTGGATTCCAAACTTCAGTGCCTGTACCCGCCCATGTGTTAAGAAGACTGAGACAGACCTTTCCAGACTCATACAAATTAGGGTTGACACGGAGACCACCAGATCTGTAGTGCACCAACTGCATAAAATTTTAAGATTGACAAACTAAATTAGCACTCACTATAATAGCCATAAATGTAAATAACAGAACTGCACAACCACATGTAAATACTTACAGGCGGTTCATGAGGATACTCTGGAGGAAGATAAATGTCAAAGAAGAAAAGTCCATCATGATATGGAGTTCCAGGTGCACCAACAATGACTGCTCGCAGAAGATCCATCCTTTCCTCAAAAGCACGGACATAGATTTTTTCTGTTGATGACAGCAAAGTTAAGTAAGTATGGGGCCTCTAGTGAGTGTTAAAAGTACTTAGAATAAGAATATCCCTTCAGTTATCAATTCATGGTTTTCCTAACCAACAGAAATTCGTCTATATATTTACTGCTTCCCAATCAAGTCTTGCTCTATGTTACCAAATCATGCTATTGCTATGAAAACCATTAAAAATTAAACTTAAAGAAGACGAAGTGCTAACCAGGAAGATCTTTCTCTAAGATGCTCCACTCTTGATGAATCTTTTTCATCCAGCCTCTTTTCACCTACGAGGGAACAAAATGGATAAGAAATAAGACCATCCTGAGTGTATGAAATATGAAGTGGTACATTTGTATGGAAATTTCATCCGGTTTCTAACCTGAGATAATATTAACTCCTTGCTGGCACCATGAAAATTGTGGTCTGAGCAATCAGAAACCATGTCAAATTGCCTGAACTGACCTGCAGTCTCATTGGCTTTTAAATGTGAAAGGCTATTCCCCTCAATTTCTTTGCCTTCCTCAATCAAAATTTTCTTTCCAAATCTTTCCAGCTCAGCCGTTGAATGTGGCTTAGTGAAAAGGTCACAAGTTTCCACTATTCCTTTCTCATGGGAGATCTCAGATTCATTTCCGACTTCAGAAATACAGACTGATGGTGAAGGACCTGAAAGTGATGCAGAATCATGGGATCCAAAAAGATTCGCAGCTATGCTTGTGAAAAATCCAATAGCAGCTTGAGGAAGGAAATAGGAACTAGACTCCCTTGTGTACTTTTTGCAACCTTTACTGGCATCATCCGAATTCAATGAATCCTGAACATAGAAATGTTATTCAGCTTGTTGGGAGGAAAATGCAAACGATACAGGATATTCAGAGTTTATAGGAAGCAAACTGTAAGTTTTTGGTTGATTTACAATTGTTTGGATAAGCTTAAATTGTTAAAATGCAGACAAATAATTCTTTAATGTGTGGGCCTCTTCCCAAGGTAACCAAACATGTTGACCCCAACATAAATTGGGAGGTTTTCATGGATTTGAACTCAAGATCTTTGGCTATAATACGAGGTTAAGTTTTTGTTAACTAACCGTTGCTCCAAAAAAACTTAAGCTGTTAGGATGTGAGCCAACTATTGTTACAAATGCAACCCAATTCAACAGTCATTTCATGAACTTCAAATGCAACCCGATGTTTCAAAAACATTTGCCACCCAGCGAAGTGGAAACTGAAAAATGCCACCACAAACAGTTGGCTGTTGTTTCGTACATGCATGAGAGAGAGAGAGAGAGAGATGGCTGTACCTTTCCTTTCAGGTTAGAAGGTTGTTTTTCATTTTGAATCATAGCTCGATTCAAGTCCTCAATGTCATCTTCTGCAGGGATTGCAGCTGAACCTTCATGTTTGTCAAACCGGAAAATTTCATGAGGGGCCACCTGTAACAATGACCAAAAAAAACTTTAAAATGAAATCATAATCTAATGGGAAACCAACACCAGCTCGAAATCATTTAACAAACAGAATGATGAATAAACAAACAATAATGGCTTAAATTTATACCGTGCTTGTAATACCAGTAGCCCATCTCACTTCCACAGCTCCATCTCTGAAGCCCATAACACTTCCAATGTGAGATAGGTAGCATTTATCAGTGCACTCGTCTTGATCCCCACCACAGTTCTTGTCTATCGGAGCAGCTTCCTCGCTCATGCCAATCTTTGTGTTTGGATAGTTTTTATCAGCTTGTTCATCAAACTGATTCTGGACCAACCTGAACACATAATCTCCAAAACAGTAGGAGTAATCTGGGTGCTCAACCAGTTCATAAGCGCTTACAATTTCATCCATTTTCTCTCCCTCTGAATTATTTGCTTCAGGTGCAGTGATAGTTTTCCATTGCACCTTTACTGTCCTTTCCTTTGCATCCACACCCTGCACAACACCCCATCTTTGACTACTAGGCAAGTGTGGATCATCACAAGTACTCTTTTCCTGGACAAACTGTTCAGGCCAAAATTCATGATCATTTACAACACTTACTGGAGCTAATGTCTGTGAATCTAATCCCAAAGAGTGGCTACCATCTTGCCACACAACATCAACTTTTGTCTTTGTCTTTATGATAACAAAGATTTCCTCAAATTTTGAATTAGTGTTTCTTCTCCTGAATCCTCTTTCTGATTTCTTGCGCTGGTTAATGAGCTCACAAGTAGATGCATTATGAAAAGCCTGCTCCATGATAGCTTTATGGTCACTAACTGGAAGCATACACCAATCCCCAAGTTGCCAGTTTGCATGAGAGAAACAAGACAACAAAGTCAACTTTTTTGAATCGAGCACACGTGGAGGAGCAGGCAATTTTGAATCACATCCCATGAGAACAGAGGCAAGCCAATCAACATACACCAAACCTCCTTCCACATAACGAACAGTTCCCTCATCTTGATTTTCCCTCCAGTTACCGCATAACCACCTTGTTGACTTGGAAGCAGTTGAAAGCCTGACCTGCACTCTCTGTCCTGGATAATATGGGTACTGTGGATCTTCAAGTATGTTTGGAGAAATGGGTAAGACCTTCTCTTGATCAACAGCAGTGACCTCACACTCCGTCCCATCATCAAAGACAACAGTAACACGGTCAACCACTCTATCCACCCTTCCAAGCCATGGACCACAAACAACATAATCCCCCACTGAAATGGACCGGATCTTCAAAAGGTTCTTGGAGTTCACATCTTTTATCATATTTCCATTAACACTCTCCAAATCAACAAACATATTGATCCCAACCACTCTTCCCATTTGTCCAGATGGATCTCTTACAGAGCACACCATGTCCCCATATATAAATCCCCTCTCAAACGAGAGAAAGTCATCAATTTTCCCAATGGTAGCCTCCAGGCTAGACAATATACTACTGGCATGTCCGCCATAGAAATATTCATTTTCCTCGTGATCCTCACTACTTCCAGTCTCACTAAAACTCTCCCAATCAGAGTCACTGAGGAGCATATCCATTCTTCAGCTGGATATCCACTTGATATTTGATACAGATAATGTGCTAGTATTTCCAATAGGATACTTTCACCACTACAACTGGAGATCTAATGCCAAAGAAGATTTGCCCTACAGGGATAACAGGAGTCAACGAGGACTCCAAATGCCAAAGGAGATTTGCCCAACAGAGGGGTAACAGGAGTCAACAGTGGACTCAAAATGCCAAATGAGATTTGCCCGATGGGTGGAGTGAAGTTTCAACCAGAATAAATTTTCCCACGACAAACTTCAAAAGGAGATGCAGAAGTATCAAGGAATTGCAACTGCCAGATGATATCTTTCCCAGAGGTCGAGGTGAAGCTTAAGAAATAGCAAGCAGAATGCCAAAGGAGATCTGCCCTGAAGCAAGGCTGGAGTTCGAGATAAATTGATGACAACTAAACGGAAGAACTCTTCTCATCCGCTACAGAATAAAATCAACCAACCAAAGGGAACTTAAGTAACTTTGCCAAAGGAGATTTGCCCAACAGAGCTGAACTTTCACTTGTTAATATAATATATATAGAGAGACATCCACACACGTGTGTGTGTGTGTCTCTTTTGCCAAAGGAGATTTGCCCCAAAACGAAGCCAAAGTTTCTTTCAGGATTTATCCACTGCCAAAGGAGGTTAGCCTCAAGAGTTGAATTAAACCAACAGAGTGCAGGAATTAGATCAACAAAGTTCAATCTACCCAACAGAAATCTATCTTAGCGCTTGGTTTACTGCAGTTCAGAGCCAAATACTGGGTGATCTCTCAGAGAGGTAGCTGAACAACCATTTGTCACTGCGAAAGATCTTGGGAGCTTCTCTGAAAGTATGATGTTTCCATGCAACGAGCAACAACATCGCCTAACTACTGCAGGAGTACTCTAAGAAATCTATAAAATAACCATTTGTGAATGCCAAAAGTCATAAGAGCTTCTTTAAGCAGTTAAACATTTCTGGGAAACCTGCATCAATACCACCTTTTAATTTTTAGTGTGACAAGAAAATAGAAACAGAGAGATATAACAGTCTTCCAGAATTTAAGAGAGAAACGTTTGAGAAGGGGCCACACAAGTAGATGCAGAAAACAGAACATGTAATTTAGATTTCACATTAATCGTTTTAGTTTCTTGTGCATGAAAGTAATGGCTTCAAATGGATAGAGATCTAACACTTGGTAAAAAAACCAAATTTCAAGGAAAGAAGAAGAAGACGAAGAAGTAGGAGCTTCATATAACTCAGCACAAGTAGGATCTTCTGGAAATTTTGCATCTTCAGCATGTGCTCTTTTTGGGTAGTTTATTATTATTATTATTTTATTGTTACTATCTACTGTAAAAATTCAAAGAAACCTGCAATATTTCATTTCCATATAGAGAAAATTTAGAAACCTAAATTCAGAGAGAGAGAGATAGAAAGTGTTATATGATGCTGCAATCTTAAAAGTTGGAGCTTTGCAAACGCTTGTACTTGAGATTGCATACAGATTTGATGGCTTGGAAAAAGAGTTGGATTTTAGACTTTCAGTGTCCAAAATATAAATTTGAGAAGCATTTTGGAAACACAAGCCGGTTAACTTAAAATCTGTCAAGGAGAGCAAAAATTAAAACCAGCAAGAAGCTCTTACTCCAACTAATCACTTGGTACATGAATCAAGCATCTTCCACCTAATAATTACAAATTCATGTATGGATTAATTGAGGCTCTCGAATCCCTTCACAAATTTCACTAACACAAAAAGATTCATACTTTTCATTCCCCATTCTGTTACTGGGACTTCAACTTGACATCCATATTTTATTTCTTCTAAACCTCATGCATCCAACATGCAACCCAAAAATATTCAATTTCCAGAACCCATCAACTTCTTTATACATATACAACTATTTACATACTAGGTTCCTTCTATCCCATTAACCATTTATTCCAAAAAAAACAAAATTATAAACGAAATTGGTACACTAAACTCGTTCACATCAAGAAATTAAACCCAGAATCTTTCTTTTTTCCAAAATAAAAGTTCAAAATTCAATAAGAAACTTAAAACCATGGCATATATGTGTGCGTTGCGTGTGTTTGTGTGTAATATAGAGTACGACAATTGATGAAAAGAAAAGAGAGATATGTAGAGAGAGAACAAGTGTACCATTAACAGCCTCTGAAAAGCAGGGGAAGCGCATAAAAAGTCATGAATACAACCAAAAATACCCAGAAGAAAACATGAGAAAGCCACCAAAAGCTGACAATAGAAAGTCGACCCAGAACAAAACTCCTCGAAAGAGCATCAGCCGTCTCATTTTCGTCACTTTCTTGCACTTTCTCTCCCACTTTTCATTTTCTCAGGAAAGTCGTCACAGGTTAAGAAAAAGCTGAGAATTCAGAGACAGAGAGGCCCTGTTTCAAACCCGTCCTCCACGCCACGACCGAACCACGAAACCATTGCACAAAGTGGCACGACACGCACAGAGACAAAGAGAGCTCCTTGTGTATGTGTCTGTTGGGTTTCGATTGGCGATGGTTGTGTGTTTTGCGTTGATGAGCGTGTGATGTTTTTGGAGGCTTCAAGTGCGTGTGTTTGTGACAGCCAGCCAATTGGATATAAGAGACATACGGGAGAAGAATATACCAACAGTATCTCTCCAGTATCAGACACAAATACTGTTGTTAAGTCTCCCAACTACTAAACACATAACGTTTTCTGTCAAATTACTACTTTACCCTTCTCACATTTTTTTTTCTCGACACAGTGATAGTAAGGTACGGGGTATTGAATTTGGTGCAAGGAAGCGTACACATTGCTTTGATCAATTGGCGTAATTCGTATTTGCTACCCTTGTGACATTTTATCAGCCATAAGATTACCCAACTCTAATATTTATCATTATAATTTGCTTAATTATTATCCAAAAATGTATATGATGATTAATACAAAAACAATTGTAAAAAATAACAAGAATATTGTAAATTGGATTCTATAGGTCAGTAATTGGCCATAGGTGACATGAAGAATATGCTTGCTTTTATCCAACATACTACACACATGTAGTAAAGGTTGCAAGTACTTTTACAAAGATGATGCAAAGCACTTGTGTTGGTTGTGGTTTAAGTTTGTAAAGAGAAAAGATTTTGCTGTATAGATTTTGTTTGGGGGGGTATGTACTATGCAGTGCTTTTCTTTTCATATTAGGGTTATAAACAAAATAAGTTAACTTAAAAGTGTTTTTGGGTTATAAAATCATTTAATCTTTTAGTGCTTTTTAGAGCAACACTTAATGGATTTTGACCAAAAAAATTAGTTGTGCTTCTAATAAAAGTGCTTTCAACAAAAGCGTTGAGTGCTTGCTTAGAGTTAGAAGCCACACATTAGGTAGTCATTCAATTTACGTTCTTTGGTTGGTTGGTTGACAAAATTGTTTTGAAGAAAAACACGTGTGTTAACATACACCTTATGTGTGTTAAAATGAACCATTTAAGAAATATGACCAAACCCTAAACCAAAAACGTACCAACCTGGTTGGTTCCTTCCTTTTTGAGGCAAAAACTGGAACGACATTAAAGTTAAAACTATAATAATAAGAGCACTAAGATACTGCCGACTTGGAAAGGCAGATAGAATGCCAAAAAGCCACGGGCAATGAAAATGACTAATCCCTAATTAAACTACCTTTATATAATCTCCTTTATACAAATCTTTTTGGCCGAATTCAAAGTGCCAACTCTTTGTTGCACTTATTTTGTTCCATGCACTTTGCCAGTATATATGTATGTGCCCTGGATTTGACTTCAAATTCTATAGGTGACCCCTGGCGGCTCCAAGGGGACTATATATATATATTATTGGCTCCATTGTGCACCGACCTTCTGATGAGGCAATTTCCATCATATCCTGGCTAGCCAATGTCCAATATTTCAAGGTAATTTTATATTTTTATTGTTTCCCTGTTTCTCTAAGATTGTGTCTCAGTGCATTTTAGTCAGAGGTGCAATGCGATTGGATTCAAATTTGTATCCATTCGAATCCGACTTGAAATGCCTGGCCTATAATCAAATCCAAATTCTTCCAAGATATTCTCAATCTCAACTCAACTTTATATATATTCTCACCGACTTAAGGCATAGTAGGTTTGTGTACTGTTTTGTGGTTGATTTTTTTTTTTTTTAAAGAAGAAGCACAAAGTTCATTTCTTTCAACCCTAGCTAGCTTCTTTTTATTGCCTTTCTCCTGTAGATGTGTCTCTCTTTCTATGAAGTTTCATTCTGACCTGGAAAAACAAACCCGACCCATCCACTGACACACTTGATCTCTACAACAGCAAAGTGGAGCCAAGCTTGGTATTGCTTCCTAGTTGATCTACCACGACAAGTATATCCTCAAATTTCCATTCATGCTAGGATTTTTCTCATTTCACTGATATATATATATATATATATATATAATCATGCATGCATGCATGAGTAATATGGGTGACTTATAGCATCATTTTTTCAATGAGCTCATTTCTCTGGTTATTGATTGCTGTGATGATTAGTGCTAATTGATTGTTGTGATGATTAATGCTCTAATTAGTAATTAATTACCAACTCGATCGCATTACAAAAAGACTAAGAAGTAGTGGTGGGTGATCAGATAAAGCTATAGCTATACCTATAGTACGTATACGTACATGCAGCATATACAGATTATAATTAGGACCGCCCACTAATTCTTAGACAGGAAAAGGGCGAATATTCACAGGCTCATTCCCTTTGGTTTTTTTTATAAAAAATTTGTTTCTTTTTCTCAATGGCAACATTTGCTGTCACAATTAGTAATGTTCTTCGTATTTTTAAAGCTCTAGTTCTATATGCAGCGCATGAGGTGCAGAGCAGATTAGATCAACAAGTGGAATAATATTATTCGTTCACTAATTCCCTCTGCAATATATAATATATTAATTTTGTGCTGCAAACCCAACCCAACCAAAGGTCCATGGAAAACCCACATGTACCCTTAATTTTGTGCTGCAATATATAATATATCAATTTTTTATTAATATGTTATTACACATAAGCAACAAAAATGGACTCCACAAATGACACATCATCATTTAATGGTTTTTTTAATGGTCAAAATCACATTGCAATAATTTTTCAATTTGAAGATACCTCATTGTTAAAATTGAAAACGTAAGGACAAACATGCCTTAAAACGTACAACCATAGGGTACCAAATTAATTGAAATCAACCCTATATTTTTCACCATTTTTATTGTTGGTTATTAGTTATACGACATGTGGTTTTGGAGCAAAGTTGGTCCCAACTATAGCAGTAGTCTGTATCCTTACCGTTGAAGGTGGGCTACAACATAATTTCGATATCTTTTTGAAATATATATATTTTTTGTCGTTGAGAGAGACAAAAGTGGTGGAGTGATCACCTTCTCTTCCAGATCAATGAAACTCGACGCGCCACGTGTACATAACTCATTTATGAATATTATTATTGGCATTGTTAGTGAATATATATTAGTATTGGCATAAGAGAGTTTGACCCATTTGCAGATGACCTAGCTATACAAACACGTATTTGTATATATTTTTCATATTTAATTGTTTAATTAGTGGTCATTATTGGCCCAATACTTCAATTTTTTTTCTCTTTTTAAAGAAAAAAGAAAGATATTATGCTAATTTATCGTCATCCGATCATATTTTGTGATACAAAAAGAAAGAAAAAAAAGGTTAACAAGTTGGGGATTGGTAAGGGAGATTTATTAGGAGTATCTCTGTGAGTGAGATTAATTAAAGTGGAGAAACTATTGTGACAGGGAACTCCATTAGCATAATCATATTAAATTGAAAGTGGGATGCAAAGTGCTTTTAGGGAAATACCTAACGCTTTACATCTATATATACACACTTTGTAGTTGAAAGAGGATTTATAGGTGGCAAAGAAGAAAGTGAATCCACTTAAAAAGCACTATTTTCATGGAAGGGGATATTCTTGTATTACTAAAATCGCTAGCTGACCCTTCAACCACCCAGAGCAACACGTATTAGGCTTCAATGAAACAAAATCATATGCAGAAAGTGGATGAGTTGGGGTCAGCAAATGACCTCTAAACAAGCTCCACTTGTCCCCAAGCATTATTACTTCCACTTTTTCAAATTTTTAACTCAAATATCCGTTTGTTTGAAGATGAGGCCTCAAGTTCGAATCACCCATTCTAAAAACTTATGGACACGAAATAGTTCTTGAGTTTATAAGAAGGTCCAGTTGAAGTACACTAATGTCAATACAAGCATGGAAAGAAGTCAGATTGGAGTGGGTGATCATAGAAGAAAATCAAATTCAAGCATAGCATTAGATTGATGGTGGGGATTAGGGCTAACATATATTAACAGGCTTGACATATATATACATGGTATGCATAAGAAGGAAGGCCTTTGCTGAAAGGGGTTTGTGGGACGCTAGCCAATGAAGTGGGGGGTATATAAGAAAAGAGCCAAATGGTACTAATGATGACCGAAAGTGAAAGACTCATCCTAATCAGGTTTTGGGGTCAACGAAATAGATATGTATGTGCTGCAGTTTGCTCAGTCCATTTACAGCATTATTTGCATAATGAATTTTTGTGGATCGATGGGACTGCTTCCTTCCTAGTACTGTTGTTAGTAGGGTTTGATAAAGATGGGACGCTCAAAATGAACTTATATATTGATGTTATTCCTTCTCTCACTCTCATCCATTTTGAGGGCTCTTCTCATTTTCCAGCAATTTCCTTCCATTTTGATGCGCCTTATGAATTTATAGAAAATATTAAAATATAAAGAAACGAAGTCGTTTTCCGAAAGAGTGAACGTGTCCCCTACAAAGGTTTCATTACATGAATGAATTGTCTGGATTGAAATGTTGAGGTTATGACATTTTTTTCTGGTGCAGAGCAGACAGATTTGACTAAGTGGCCTATGAAATTATTGCAGGGGTCTTTGTATTATCTTAATCAGATATGTCTCTTTAGGAACTTAATGCTGTCATTGTGTCTGCAAGACAAAAATATATTATTATTTGAAACGTGTGTGAATCTTGTATCAAATGGCTACTGAATTTGGCTGAGTGTCTTCTGTTGGGAAAATAATTATGCACCATGGACAGTTGTTCCTATAAAGTGCCATATAGGGTAGGGTTTCTTAATTTTAAAGCAGCAACCATAGATTGAGTAGGCTTCATCAATAGGCCAGCCTCATCAGTAGTATTTCGCCAGGATAGAGTAGACTGCGAGGTTTGTTCTTTCCCGACAAAACATACCTTTTCCGGCGAATTTTGTCCTTCTCAACAAATTTTCGCCTCGATAGACTATTCCCGGCTCATTTGTTCTTCTCTGACAAATTTTAGACAAGATAGAAATTTTCCGACAAACTTTTGACGGAATAGACCTTTACCTTAACCGTGAAGTTTTTTCCTTATTGGATTGTAGCTTTAGTCTAGAAAATTTACACTGCAATTATAAAGCAAAGGGTTTATATCTCAATTGGTCATGAGCATTTACTTAATTCCTATGTTGGATTTTTCGTCCTCCAATCTCTCTTATATCAAAAGAAAAAATGTTGATTATACATATAGCATTTCTTCTTTTTCAATGGTAAATACTACTCAGCTTTGTAATTTCTCTAAACGCAACCTGGGCTGTCACAGTATACTTCGGCACTCAAGTCTAACTTGGTTTAATAAGCTTTTTGTGTTGGTGGATGGACCATCGAAGCTAGAAACCACTTTCAAGGTTCTGCGAGTTGACCAAAATAAATCACACAATAAGTAGAAAAAGTGATATGAAGATAAGCATACAAGGAGGCACCAGTTGCGCACCAAACCAAAAGTTAATTCAAGAATTTGGGGTCGCACTAAAGCCCGTTGAATCTTCTGTTTACACAGCAATTCATCAGCCTTCTATTTCCCTCTCTTTCTGTCTCTCTCATTCAACTCATTGCCACTCTTACACTTTCTCCAGCAATCAATCTAAAGACAATAATTTATTTGTGGTGACGGAGGGTCCATGCTTTCCTTACCCAAATGGAAATTGCTTTCCCAGTGTTTCACATATCACTGAACAGAACAGGACACACTAGTAAAAGTTGTCCAAACCCAAACATGTGTACAAGGCATCCACCAATGATGTCACCTTTTAAGCAAAGGAAGGAAAGAGCTTGATCTACTTCGTTAAATTTAACTTCGATCAATAGAACCTACAAGTGTCGATACAATGTAGGATTCAGACCGTCATGCATTCGTTACAAACTACAAGGAATGGCTCAAGAATCCCACTCATGGTTCAGGCAGAGTTGCGTCCTCGTTCACATTGGAATAATGCAGTTACATGATATTGAGAGACTTTAGCAAAACTCAATGGTCAAGACTGATGGCAAAGAAAATATCTATTAGGGAACAAAACTCATTCATTCAGCTCACGGTTTCACAATTTGCACTTCTGAATACAGAAGATACAAAACAAAAATTTTTGTGTAACAAATCCTACAACACCCACCACCTCTGGTTCAATCTACATCTCTATTTCGAATGGCATCCCAAAATGTGCACGGAGCAACGTAGGAATCTGATCATGCTCACCATAAAGCACAACCTTATGAGTGGAATGCCATTATTGCCAATATTCAACCATAGGGAACGTTTCTCCTAAGCAGCAACAGCAACCTTTTCTGGCTTCTTACCGGGTGCTTTTGGAGGCTTTTCAGGGACATCTGGTTTCTCAATCCCTTGAACATCAACTATCCTCAACTTCGTCAATTCCTGAAAAAATTCCAAGTAAAACGATAATCAATGTACTAAGACAAACACATTACGACTGTTTAGACAAGGGATTTCATGCATACCTGGCGATGTCCTTTGGTTCGACGGTAATTCTTCCTTCTCTTTTTCTTAAAAATAATTACCTTTGCATCTAATGCCTGAGGTGAAGGGGGGAAAAAAACAAATAAGAAAAAAGAAATCTGAAGCACACTCTTTACTTAGCTTTTTTTCTTTCCCGAGGAAAATCCTCTCAAGAAAAAATATTAAACCACAAAAGATATGAGAGAACCTGTTCTCTAATCCACATTGGTAATGCCGAGAAAGACACAGGTTGTACCTACTCACTCACGCGCACATAGTAAGAAGAAAGAAACAATGGTGTCACACTTACGTGCTCCTCAACAACTGCATGAACTGCTGCATCTGGTAGTAGGGGCCTACCGATTATTGTCTGACTACTTGAGCCCAGCAAGAGAACCTTGTTCAATATTAACTGTAATAGACAAGCATTTGAACCATTAAATAATTGAGTTCATATACAAAATTAGAAAAAATAAATCCACAAGAAAATACGAAGTGATACAACAATTTGATCTCATATGACAACTAGGCAAAAAAATCAAACTCCCCGGAAAAAAAAAAAAGAAAAAAGAAAAAAGAAAAAAAAGCCTTTGTTTCATCTACTTATCTAAGTTCTGAAACAGACATCAAAAGAGCTATTACAAAACAAGCCAGAAGAAGCAGAAACAAAATATTAGAGGAAAGTAAGTTCACTAGTTTGGCTTCCATACTACACTACAAGCATTGCCGGATGAATGTCTGAGACGTACCTTACAAGGAAATTGGTATCACAGGTTTCATAATAATGCAATGCCGTATAGGAAGATAAGGGTCAATAACAAACGGGAATAACTAGAAATTCAATCTCCCTACTTCCTATGAATATAACACCAGTACATTGTACAGTTACAAGATATCAGAATGAACTTGCGATTTCAATTTCCGAGAATATGAAATACTGACATTCATTTGTTTGGGTAAATGCAGAAAAACACAATGGGCAACAATAAATCTGTACCTACCTTATCATTCACTTCACAGAACTTCAATCTTTCAGTGAAAATGCAGTCCCCATTGCTAACCTTGAACTGATGCGAACCAATCTACAAGTACAATAAAATATCACATTAACCAAAACCCATTTCACCATTTTAACAGTCTCATTGATGGCAAAAGATAAAGTGAAACCGACACGAACCTGAACCACAGCGAAAACCGGCTCATACGGTTTGAAAACCCGATCAGATTTCTGAAGAGGCCCAATCACTTGGTACCCAATAGCGGCGGCCTCCGCCTCTTTCTCCTCCGCAGTATACTCCCTTTTCGAGCCACACCCAGAAACACTCTCGTCCTCACTGTCCCCAACTGCTTCATCATCATCATCATAATCGTCATCGTCGTCATCATCTTCTTCTTCTTCACTGTGCTCATTGTCTTCATTCACATCTCCGACTCGGCTCGACGAGAAATGGCGGGTTTGCGACCAATTGGGATCGGGGTTGGTGAAAATGAGAGGAAATTTGGAGGTGAGGGTTTTGAGGGGTTGATAGATGGGGAGGGCAGGTGGAGTTTGGAGGGACTGGAATGTAGTGTTTGTGGAGAAGAGGGCTGAGGCGTGGCGGCTCAGAACTTGGAGGCGCCGTCGGTTCGCCATGAACATCCTTATGTGACGATATGTCGTTGGCCTTGGTTTTTGAATTTTGGGGGTTTTGAGCTCGCTTCAGCCTTCAGCTGGGGCTAGGGTTTTAGCTTTTGGTTCCGTTTGAGGTTTTTAGGTGGCCGATCTTTCGGTTGGCCATTCGGAATCTCGCGGCTTTGTTTATTGTCGGTTAGTTGGTAAATTACGGTTCCACCATTATGTTTATGTCTTTTTTTCAGTCAACCCATTATGTTTATATCTAGCCTCGGGTTTTCCAACGAGTTTTAAAATTAAAAGAAAATAGTATCGCCGGGCGGCTATACTCCGATTTTTTTTAAATAGTATAGCCGGCCGGCTACACTTTTTTGACACGTAGCTAGAAGCATCTTCTTTCTGTTAAAGAATAGTTTAGCCGCGCGGCTATACTCAATTTTTTAAAATGGTATAGCCGCGCGGCTATACTGTTTTTTGTTTGTTTTAAAAAAGTATAGCCGGACGGCTATACTGTATTGGACGCGTCGGCCCAAATAGATGGGCAGGTATTTTATGTATATAAATAATATAACCGGGCCGCCATACACAGTTTTTTTAAATGTTTTTAAAAAATAGTATACCGGACGGCTTTACTGGGCTTTTTGTTGTTTTAATCTTTTTAATAAACAGTATCGCCGTGCGGCTATAATGTTTTGACACGTGGACACCTAATACCTAGGCTGATATTTTTGTTCTTATAAATAGTATAGCCGCACGGCTATATCGTCAAAATTGTATTGCAGGGCGGCAATGCTTGGGTTTTTTGTTTATTTTGAAAATATTATAGCCGAACGGCTATACTGTGTTTGAACGTGGGCCCTAATCGTTAGATTGGTCTTTTTTATATTTATAAATAGTATAGCCGGTCGGCTATACGAGGTTTTTATAATTTTTAACAAAATAGTATAGCCGCACGGCTGTACGGGGCTTTTTTGTTTTTTGTTTTTTGTTTTATTTTTAAAATCGTATGGCCGCCCGGCTATACTCCTGTTTTTATGTTTATTATAATAACTAGTATAGCCAGTGACTATACTCTGTTTTTTTTTTTTTAAATAATATAGCTGCGTGGCTATACGTTTTGATATGTTGACGCCTCATAAATAGGCAGGTCTTTTGTTTGTGTTTTCATAAATAGTATAGCCGATCGGCTATACTCTGTTTTTTTATTTTATTTTTTTATTGAAAACTAGTATAGCCGCCCGGCTACACACAGTTTTTATGTTTATTTAAAAAAATTGTCTAGCCTCCCGGTTATACTATTTTTGACACGTGGGCCCCTAAACGCTAGGCGGGGTTATGACCTTAGGTTTAGATAGGGGTGCCACTGGGTTGGTACAAGTGGCGCCACTGCACAAAGCCCCAAATTTTTTTATTTGTATATTATATATTAAAATTATAGATATCCTATATATAATCAAGAGCACAATTGACTCTGGATTATACAAAACAATTATAAAAAGGATAAAATTGAGCAATTGATTCAATCTCAAAGAGGAGCTCTTGATAAAGCTTATTTTTGTACTGAACATATTAATATTTAATTTTATTAACTTGAAACATTAAAACTTTTATGAATTTGATTTATGATTTATATTGCATGCCAATTAATGATGAATTTTAGTTATGAACAAATTATTTTATGGCATTAAGTCATGAAAAAATATAATTTTTTTGAGTATTTTCGTACTAGATTGTGTAAGGGTCCGAGCTTAAGTTCGCACATGGCTCTTAAAATCTCAGGGTTAGTATCACTATGTGTAGGGATAAATGCTCTTAATTATTTGAGTTACAAACTTGTGTCTCTAGTTAAATATTAAAATATTTATGTTGCTTTTGTTTTAATTTTATGTTTGTAGCATTATGTTGCATTTATTCTTTAGGATTCAGTTCGAGCATAGGAAGAAAGTAAATCAGTTATTTTATGAGTTTGAGGTGTAATGCCTCTTTGTGAAATTGTAGTTTATGTTTTGATTGTGCTGACAACGCTTGGTTTTCTTGAAGGCACACAATTGGTTCACATGTGTCATTCAACTCGTATTCTTATTGACATTTGTTTATATTTATATATTATTGATGAAGTTATTTTTCGCATATACATGGTTCTTTTGGGCTGTAAGGCCTTCAACGATTCTTTTGGGCTTTTATTTGGGGCACCAAAATCACAAAATTCAAAAGAAAAAAGAACCTTCGTCGTCTCCATTTCTTACAACCAAAGGAACCAGAAACCTCCAACCAGATCTCCTCCGCCTTTGATCTAAAATGGCCGGCCGGTTCGGGTTCTCATCCTCTGCTCCCGCGACCACGATGATAGTCACCAACACCCCGGCTGCAGATCTGGCTTTGACCAATCTGGCCTACTGCTCGCCCACCGATCTTCAAAACTTCGCCATCCCCGGCACCAGGCTCAATCTGGCTTCTGTCGGCGACGCCTTCGTCCTCACTGTCTCATATCCTTTTCATTATTACAGTTTCTGATTGTATTTACGTTCTCCGCATCTAATTATCGAATTTTCACAGAAATCCGTCATTACTTGATCACATTTCATTCGGTGTTGTGTTCTTGTTTGGGTTTTTTTGATTTGCTTAACTGAAAGAAACTCCTCATCAAAGCATACAAAAGGGTCACATTGCGCTGAACGCAATCCAACGGCGGCATGCTAGGGTGTCCACTGGCGATTCAGTCTCTGTGAGCAGGTTAGTCAGGCACTCAATCAATCTGGCTCGGAGCTGAGGTTCGATCGTTTTTCAGTTTCTAATTGCATTATGGAAATCCTATTTTAGGTTTGTTCCGCCTGAGGATTTCAACCTGGCGCTGCTCACGCTAGATTTGGAGTTTGTGAAAAAAGGGACTAAAAGTGAACAGGTATATGCATATGGATTTCCATTTTCACATTCTTCTTCTCTATTTTTATACAAATGCAAATGCCGTCCAAAGAATTATGGATTTGAAGAATTTCGGATTGTTTTGTAGGTTGATGCTGTTCTCTTGTCAAACCAACTTAAAAAGAAGTTTATGAACCAGGTAGCTTCTACATTCTACTTTGGTTACTTGTTCTTCATACTTGTTTTATATCGTCTGGGGTTGGGATTCAACTGGAACATTGGGCCTTTTTATGTGCAGGTTATGACGGGTGGACAAAGAGTATCATTTGAGTTTCAGGGGATTAATTACATTTTCACTGTTAATCAAGCTGCTGTAGAGGGACAAGAAACCTCTAATGGTATAGAAAGAGGAATGATTGTGAATGACACATACATCATCTTCGAGACATCAAAAGCAAGTGGTATAAAGGTGAGCTATCTATCTTTAAATTTTCCTGTAATTTGTGAAATGATGTCAAGCCTCAATAACTTTAAATAGTGGAAAGGGCAGTTATGTTACATTTTTGTATATTTGTCTTGGCTGGCTGCATATATTTTTATTTATATGTTTAGAAAAAAAAATTACTTCTTGTAGTTTGTAATGGTTGCCATTATGGGTTTTATTCTTATTGTAAACAAAACCTAGATTGGTTGAACGCTGATTCACGTCATGGTTGGTTGATTGGTTGATCCTATCCTAGATTGGTTGAACACTGATTTACGTCATGGAAAACACAATAAGAATAAATTAATCCTATCCTAGATCGGTTGAACGCACTAGGTACATGGTTGTGAAGGTCTCCCAATGATGAATCAGTTTTGCACTTGCACCTTCAATCACCTGCATATCCTATTTCAATCAGAGTTGTGCTCAATTTCATATGATGGCTGTGTACAACAGAAAATACTCAATATCACTTTGAGTAGTAAACAATATCGAATAATGTTTTGAAATTTGATATACTGACTTGTGTTTTCCAGATCGTAAATCAGCGTGAAGCTGCAAGTAGCAGCATATTCAGGCATAAAGAATTTAATCTTCAAACTCTTGGAATTGGTGGCTTAGGTGACGAGTTTGCAGACATATTTCGAAGAGCTTTTGCCTCCCGTGTATTCCCTCCACATGTGACAAATAAGTAAGATAACTGATTTTTCTACCTGTATTGATATCCTTTTGGTCTACCTGTATACTATACTCCTAATTGGAAAGATTTTGATGTTCCAGATTAGGGATCAAGCATGTAAAGGGTATGCTGCTCTATGGGCCACCTGGTACTGGAAAAACTCTCATGGCTCGTCAAATTGGAAAGATGTTGAATGGGAAAGAACCAAAGGTTTGAAGATGGATCCATTTATTTTATTAAATTTCTAAGATTTGCTAGGGGCAGTTGAGAACTTATGAATGTTTGAATGGTTACTTTTCGTTTCCAACAAAGTTTCAACTATAATTTCAAAGAAGATTACCAATTGAGGACACAGGAAACTCAGATGAAACTAAGAACAAGATACTCATTCTTCTTAACATGCTAAGGTAATGAGTTGATTAAGCTCTGCCAGCTGTAAATGTGGAACCATGCCGAATTGTGATTTAACACGTTATTTTGATGCAACTACATTGTCTTAAGGTTATAAAGTTATCTGAGCATGTCTGAATGATTTCTGAAATGCAGCTTATCCTTAGTTAATTTCTACGTTGGTGATTTATGGACTGATTGGTATCTTTGATGAACTGTACTAGATTGTTAATGGCCCTGAAGTCTTGAGCAAGTTTGTCGGTGAAACTGAAAAAAATGTTAGGGATCTATTTGCCGATGCTGAGAATGATCAAAGGGCTAATGGTAAGGGAAATATGTGTCAAGCAATTTTAGGTTGGGTTTTTTATATATAATTTCTAATGTCATCATGCCCTTTATTTTTCAGGAGACCAAAGTGATTTGCATGTGATAATCTTTGATGAAATTGATGCTATTTGTAAGGTATAAAGATTTCTTACTCTATCACTCAGATTTCCTCATGGAGCTGTTTCTTCTATGTTGCATAACCCCATCAACCCTTCCTTTTCACAGTTGCATAGCTTCAGTTGGGTTTAAGGGTTTTTTGGTTAGGCATTCAAGGTTTTATACAAGAAGACCATAACACATGCTTTATTTTGCAATACAGTCAAGAGGATCAACTAGAGATGGTACAGGGGTTCATGACAGTATTGTGAACCAATTACTCACAAAGGTCAGTGCAATTTAAAATTGGGCTGTAAGTCTTGCAAAAATGTTGTTGCTTGGCCATTATACTCTTCTTTATTTTCCTACGGAATCTTCTTATGGCCGAGAAAC